AGAAGGACATTCTGAGCGGCCCAGAAAACATTTGAAGCAGTCAAGTTTCCTCGGGTGCTTTTCTTTTTCTGATTACTCTTCTATTGTCTGGAATTAGCCTAGTTTCTATGCCCTGTGCCCCTAGGATATGTCCAGGTATTTAGAGGCCTCCTATGGGCAGGTGTCGAGGGTCTATGACCAAAGTTGGTTACATGTATTATACCCATAGAAAGGAATTTACTTAGAAAGTGTCTGCAGAAAAAGCCTTATTATTAGTTGATCCCTTCACATTATGAATGTTCACACTGCAAAATTGTGCCTGAAAGATAAGAACTTCACTCAGAGAGGCACATAGGTACCCATATTTGGGTTGATGTAAGGCATAGGCCCTTCAAAGTCAACAAAAATTTTATAAGCAGGAAATAGATTTCTCCCACCCCCAGCCCCCAACCATGAACCCATCACCATTTCTGTACTGCCTGGGGTTCAGGCATAGATTAAAATCCCTACTGGCTGTAAGTTTGGTCTGTGTTCACTTCATGACCTTGGGAATTTTATTGCCCCCCTTAATGGCCATTCTAATCGCTTGTCTTCACAGTTCATCATCTTGTTACCTGAAGAGAATCCTAAGAGCTGGCTCATTTCTTCTGTTATCTCTTTGTATAAAGTTCAATGGATGTGCGATCTTTTCACTTTTCTTTTTTTTCTGTGTCTGAAAGGTTGTGATAACAAAAATAACAATAGCTACGAGCTTTTGTGAAGTTAATTATTTTAAATGAGCAAAGAAGACCAAGCACCTGAGAAGAGAATGGCTCAGAAATTGGAAAGAAAGCATGATGCTCTGCTACAGCTGGTTGATATTTGGTTCTTTTATTTTTCTCCTGAGTAACATAAGAGCCATTGAGCTCAGAGGACGTGAACATCCTGCACAGGAAATAGATGGTGTGTGGAGGAGGTGATGGGGGGCACCCAGCAGCCGTTCTCTGAATCCTTCAGTGAGCTTCCCTTGAATATGTCGGAGAAGCAAGTAGAGGGGCTGGAAAACAGAGGCTCTGCTTGGATGGCTTCCAACACACTTCACAAAGCTCAGGAAAGCTTGGCTAAGCCACATGCATTTTATGTTTTCCCGAGGAAAGACTCTGCTTTTTGGTCTCAGGGTTAAGGAGTCTCAGCAAGTTTTTATAGATGCACTCAAACATTCTCCTAGTATTTTCCTCTGTCATGGAAAGGAGCCCAGGGAATAAAATCACACTTAGTGCCTGCTAGGCTAGTTGGCTCAGGGAAGAGGTGGTGGGATAGTTAACTATATTGTGGGGCACCCTTAGCTCCCAGCTTCACTAAGTTTATAAAAAACTGTGTGTGTGTATATGTGTGTGTGTGTGTACACATAAAAGTATGAAATCCTGAAATACATCCACTCTTCTGAATTTAGTTTCGAGTTTCAACTAAGATTGTATGTGTGTGTGTATGCACACACACGTGTATATATGTGTGGGTATGTGTGTGTATATATATATTCATATATATATTCATATATATATACACACACCCACACATATATATATGAATGAATAAATACTACCTTCATCTTTATCAGGAGGACCAAATACACACCATGTAAACTGTAAAGTATGGAGAGACACAAAGGTGATAGGCAAGTGACAAATCTGAAAACTGTCAAGAGCTGAAGCCTGGGTTTTTTCTTTAATTTCCCCCAAAACGTATTTTAAAGCAAAAAACTAAAGCATTTACTGTTCCTTTGTGAGAATGATATGGGATGTTCATTGGAGCAAAAAGGCCATTTATGAACTGGCTTTGGCCTTGCTTTGGCCTGTCATAGTCACTGTGTTCATTTCAGAACCTGAGATTTACACTGACTGCATATTAACAGAGAGGAAAACCTGGAGTCATTGGCAATTGGAATTTTCCAGTACAATTTTCCATTATCTGCTCAATTTAAATTGTTTCTTTTCTAGAAAAAAAAATTTATTTTTAACTTTTTCACTTATGTTCCTCCATAGAAAGCTTACTACTATTTTAAAGACATTTTACGTTGCTTATGAACTTGTAATTTTCTCATTCATAATTAACGCTTTCCTATATTGTTATTTTCCTGAAATTTTAGCCATAAAAGGTATATATAATTATGCTAAATAGAGATGCTGGAATATCATTAGTATCAGAAGTATGTAACAGTGTTCCTAGGTTTAGAATGTTGTGTGTTCCTGTTTTCCCAGGTTTCCACTTCTATTCTTGTGGAACTGGAAACCAGACTTGTTTTGGTTTTCTGTTTTTGGTCATCTGATTATAGTTTACAATTAAGAATCAACTGGTTAAATAAGTGAAGATGGAATTGAATACAGCACCTATCCTTATGCTAATGAGGAAATCTGCAAAATTTTCTCTTTTAAATACTTTTAACAGAAACAAATATTGAATTAGAATTGTCACTTAATATCTTGCAAGAAAGAAAAATGTGGCCACTTGTTTTTTTTTTAATTTTCTAACTAGAAAAATCATATAAAGTATTCACCACTTGATTCAGGATAATATGATGCAAGATGCTTAAACAATAAGTCCATGCTGTTTGGGAACTGTACAACTGCATACAAAAGTAAAAATCAGTTACTTGAATGCAGCAAGTGCAAAGTAGTTCTACTTCAGCCTGATTAAGCAGCGCCACCTACTGCACAGAAGATGTATTTTATGTTCGGAAATTCTCTAGTAGAAACAAATCTCTACAGAGCTAAGCACAAAACAAAATCAGTTTTCAGTCTGCTATTGTGTAAAATTTACAGCTGGGTTATTTTATTGAAGTTTTTTCTAGTGTTTCCCTGTGTCTATTAGTCTACCCATTCATATTGAGAGCAACAATTACATAAGAAAGTGAGAGAGAGAACAGGAGATAAAAAAATGCAAATATGAAAAAAATAGGAATATAGGATATTCATTCTTGATATCTATTGATGTATCTTTTATTATGAAAAAAAGTCCAGTGTACCTCCATTTTCCCTTTTACACATGACAATGACATAAGAATCAACAGTTAACCAATGCTTGTTTTAATCGAACCCTTGTTCACATTTTATTCTAGGCTGCCTCTAAGTTTGTCCAATATTAAATGATTATGCATTAAAAGGGCTCTGTTACATTCCTCTTTCTCTATGTTTTTTATCCTTATAATAGCACTTACATCTACAATATTTTTAAAATAATAATTTCTAACATTCTAATGTATTTTACATTATAGCATCACATAGGCATTTCATAGAGTATTAATAAGAGCATATCTTTTTATTATGTTGAGTCCATTAATTATCTTTTCAACCCTTTGGATTTATTTCATCTAGTCTATTATACCACAACGTAAAATAAATAAGTGACAGTAGACATGGTACGATAGTGATTATGATTCTTTTTATTGTTCTCTGTCACTCTTTCAAGGTCTTAACTGATTATTTACCACTCACATTACTCACAATGATGCTTGCACTTTTATGATGAGGAGATCATATCATTTTAGTTTCTGCTTTATAATTAATTTCGCAGCGTGTGCTCATTCATATCAAATCGTATTTGTCATCCATTAATTTATTTATATATTAATGGAATGTCACACAGTCAAGAATTTATGATAGTGAACATTTGCCAGGGCTTTGATCTCCAAATTAACTGAAACAGAACATAAATTGGTTCTCTATCATACCAAAGTCATAATTATATGATTGAGGCATGTTAGAAATCTAGACACACAAATAGCACAAATGGTCTCAGTTTTGCATCCTCATTTGAAGAACAGCTATTTGAATCCCAAATACTACTGAAAACTTGACTTACTTATACTTGTCTATATCTTTAAAACTCTGTTATATTTACTGTAACTTTTCTCATTCAATTAAAACTTATTGAATATTTACTATATGCTAGGCACTGTGCTAGGTTCTAGTGATTCAGTGATTAAAAAATGAATTCCTTGCCCTCAGTGAGTTCTCTTTCTTGCAGAGGAAAATGGTGAGTAGTGTGTGAGTAGTCCTGAAACAGTAAGGACAAGAAGCTATAGGCACAAAAGGAAATCAACTCAACTCAATCTTCAGGGAACAGGGAAGTGTGTAGTAAGGGGGAAATGAAGGAAGACTTCCTGGAGAAGAGAAATCATGAATTGAGTCTGCAGAAGAGATAAAGCATTTGTCAGGAAGATAAGTAGAAAAAGAGTGTTCTAGGAGAGGAGATAGGATTTGCGAAGACATTGAGATGAGAGAACGGGATAAGTTTAAGGAAATACATGTGGTTCACTTCACCTGAGACTCAAGACAGCAAATAAAGTTCTGAAAGATGAGATTAGACAAATAGGCAAAGTTTAGATAATGGAGAGTCTTTCATGAGTTTGAACTTTATTTATTTATGAATGCTTTAGTGGTTTTTTTATCAAAATATTTTAAGAAGTGAGAAGTGAGTGATAGAATCAGATACAAACTGATTGGAAATCTTTCCGGCAACACTGTTAAGAAGGGAATTCAGTAGAGTATGACTGGAGGAAGGGAGATGGGTTAGGGAGTAGTCCAGGAAGTGATCCAAGAGAGAGCAATAAATGACAATGGGCATGGACAAGGAGAAGATGCATATTGATGGACTGTTACAGTAGTAGAACTAATTTAATGACCAAGTTAATGTGAAAACTGCAGAAGAGGAAGGCCAGTAAAACTTCTATTTCCGGTATGAGAAAGGTTTGATGGCACCACTCACTAAGATACAGGCAGTGTACAGATTAGAGATGAGCAGAGAAAAGAGATCTGCTGCAAATATGTTAAATGCATCCACGTGGAGAGGTCCAATGGGTGGCTGCTTCTGGACATTTTTAGGGGACAGATTTAAATTAGAGATCTTCAGGTCTAATCTTTGTGAATCCTTAAGAATATATCTAACTTTACTGAAAAATTAAAAATAAATTGGAAGTTGGTTCTGCATTATATTCCAAGACCTTCCTTCATCTGTTGCACTGTTCTTACACCCCCTCCCCTCAGAGGACTGGTATGAACAGTTGTATCCCCTCATCCTTACCCTGAAGGACTGCATGGGAGAAGTGGTGAACCGAGCCAAGCAGTCCCTGACGTTTGTGCTCCTTCAGGAACTTGCGTACAGCTTGCCCCAGTGTCTGATGCTGACGCTAAGAAGAGACATCGTCTTCAGTCAAGCAGTAGGTGCCTGTTGTTATTGTTAGTACAAAACAGTGCCAGATTGTTAACATTCTATCCTTGATGATGAATAGAATTCTTATTGGGACAGCTTTATTTTTAGAAAATCCTTAAAGTTTTGGTACCCCATGTTTCTTATTCACGACAAATATCAGCTGAATATCCTAAGCAAAGAGTTTATGAGACCTTAAGTATTTATTTCTGAAAAGAGATGGCCAAGTCTCTAACATATAAATTCTGCTTCACAGGGCATGAAATCCATGAAGGGCGTGGTCATCATCTTTGTATTATGCTCAGGGGTCTACATAAGTGTAAGGGAAGGGACTGTTGCCTTGCACTGCAGGTGACACACTAGGACTTGGCAAGGGGGATCCGTTTGCAGTTGCTTATTTGTACAGTTCCCACATGAATCTTGGGACAAGGTTTCACAATGATCTCTTATTTTGTTTTTAAAATAAGTTTTCAGGGCAGTAAGGCTTGAATGGGAAGTTTGACAGGGCCACCTTCTTTGCCTACACCCAACATGATTCATAATGCCAAGGCCTGCCTCCATCACGGTGATGGTGCTGGTGCCTTCCTTCTCCCCACCTGCCTCCATCCCCATGGCTGAGTTTTATAGACAGGGCATATGGAGGGGAAGAAAAAGAAGACTTATCTTTCTAAACATTCTAGGAAAAGGAAATGTTTTAACCAAACTGTCCCTTTCCCGTGCTAGTTCATGAATGGTACAGTGGCACATGGAGCTAACCAGGTGTTGGAAAATATGCTCTGCCTTATACATATATGTTTTGTCATTGTGCTATGATGACTGTGAAATGATTATTATCATCTCTATTTTACATGTACAAAAAATAGTAAGATTTGTAAGTGCTTAAGTGTTTATGATTTTACTGTTAGAAATGGTAGACATAAGATTTGAAGACCCGTCAGCCTCACTGCTGTCCATGTTCTTATTCCCTTTGCACTTCTACTTTCCCCAAGACTTTTATACACAGCAATTCTAGATCGAAGACTGTCAACTTGTTTTAATATGCCTACCAAATAGTTGTAGTTTTGTTACACATACCTGAGAATCGAATCTGTGATGCCTCAGAAGTCTTAAAATATTTCAAAATAAAACAAATACGTTTGCTAACTGCAGTAAATCTTATCAGTATTTTTTTTTTCAGCTTGCCGGATTGGTTTGTGGTTTTATCATCAAATTACAGACAAGTCTGTATGACCCAGGCTTCCTACAGCAGCTTCACACAGTGGGGTTGATAGTACAGTATGAAGGGCTACTAAGTACATACAGTGAGTATTGCTTTAGTACAAGTTAAAAATCACATTTCTATTCATAAGGAGATTTAACCCACAATTTTTTCCGAAAAACATAAAAATAAGAAGTAAACCTTTATTGCACCAAGTATTACAAAAATAATGTAACTTTCAGTTTTTTGTATTCACCTTGTAACTTACTTTTGCGTCCCATTAAGGTTTGAAAATGGAATTATAGATTATTTCAGAGTGGACTTCTGAGCAGCCATCTGGCTTTTTTAATATAAAAGGCTCTGTGCCAACATAGTTTCAATGACTGGATTTTAAAGTCTGAACCCTGTAATGTCTAGAACTGCACTGTTCAATATAGTAGCCTTGCGTGACTATTGGACACTTGAAATGTGTCTGGTCCAAATCAATAAGTACTAGATATGCAGACCAGATTTCAAAAACTAGTTTTAAAAGGTGTTTTATATTGATAATACTTTTATATTAATTTACAACTGAAATGGTATTTTGGATATACTGGATTAAGTAAAATCTATTATTAAAATTAATTCTACCTTTTTAATTTCACTCTTTTAAAAAATGACTACCAGGAAATTTAAAATTATATATGTGGCTCACATTATGCTTCTGTTAGAGAGTGCTGATCTGGAATCTTAATGATCCCCCTCTCAGGCTTCATTTGTTAATGTATGGAGATGCAAAACTAGCATGAACCTGGGTCAGTGATTATCAATTCAGCTACCTCTGTTATTTCTAGACAACGCACATCAGCCCTGCCAGTAGAAAGAAATGTACACAAATCATAAAGGGGTTAAAACCTTTCTCCAGCCTCACAGCAAATGTCCACGTTCTTCCTCCCCTCAAAGGGTAGATTGACTTCTGGAGTCCATTGAAATGGTTCCCATTTCACTAAGGAAAACCTTCAGCCTCTGAGGAAAAGTATCTAGAGTAGGTTCACTGCATTCAGAAACTCATTCAATAAAATGCTAGAACAAATTCCAGCAGGGAGGCATAGTAGCTAATGACATTTTCCTCAAATGTTTGTTTGTAACTAAGTGCTTTTTCTCTTGCTTAGGTGATGAAATTGGAATGCTAGAGGACATGGCTGTTGGCATTTCTGATTTGAAGAAAGTCGCATTTAAAATAATTGAAGCCAAATCCAATGATGTATTGCCAGTTATAACAGGAAGACGGTAAGCAGTGCTCACAGTGCTCACTTCCTGAAGACCAGGCTTTGTTAGATGTGTCATATTAACTCCTGTCAGAGGAGGCAAGGAGAATTCAGGTTTGATTTGGGAATTTTTCTTTTGTTTTCTTTTCCTTTTTGGTAAAAAATAAACATGGGTGATATGATATGGGACAATCTTGAAAAACTCCTGGAAGTCTCATGAATGTTTTAAATTGTAGTGAGTTGAGTATGGCAGTACTCTCCCACAAAATACAAGAAATTCAAAATAATAGCTTGCATAAGAACATTTTTCTCCTTATTACTATCTCATCCAAAGCTGTGGGTGTTTTTACTTTTGTGGGAATCGTTCAGTTAATAGAATCATAATTCTTGAGATGACTTTAAATTAAATTCAGTTAAAAGCAGTAACATTTTAGAAAAGATATATTTCTGTGTCAGGGGAATATACCACCATTTCTCTTAGTTATTTTTGACAACTCACTCTCAGACTGTGAGATTTCCGAGAAGGATTTTAAATAAATAGCTTCGAAGGTCAGTGTATGATGGGCAAAATATCAGAAATAATTAAGAAAAATGATGGTGTGTAGAACATACCTCCAAAAGAAGAGGTACATCCTATAGTAAGTTGTCTCAATCAGAAGTCCAAACTATTCTGGTGTTAGTGTTTTTAATTGCTGCATGAGGATATTTAAAATTTGAAACATTCTCAGGTCATGTTCAAAACATATGAATATACAAAAGGGAGAGTCCGTTTCATGCTAAAGGGAGATGCAAAGCAAACTAAGTATAAAGTTCAAAGTAAACTTGTCTTCTTGTTGATAGTAAACATATAATAATTATTTTAAATTTTGTGAAGGATACTCAGAACCACATAGTTGGCTGAAAGGTAACTTTCTTACTCACAAAACACCCCACATCCTCAGAAACTAAATATTTACCTAGAATTAATACTTAACTTGCCATTCATCTGGGAGAAAGAGAATAAAATTGCTCATATGCACACCCGAAAAACAGCACAATTCTATATTTCTCTCAAGTTTACTGTCAAAAGTGAAACACTAATACTTATATCACAATGTTTAAGGGAAGCTTACCAGGCCATCTGGCGTAGGCAGAGTGCAGCTTGCTTTTTCTGAGGAAGTTCTTCAAGCAGTATTGAAACTCAAAAGTGATCATGTAGGTAGGGGCATGACTCCGAGAATGATGAAGTGAGCAGCTTAGCACACCCTCTCTCCAAAAGCAATATTACAACTGGAAATAATAATCCGAAACAACCATTTTAGGACAAACAGAATAAATCGGATGCACACCACAAATTCAGAAGCACTTGTTTGCGAGAAACCAGTGAACATTGGGTAGCATCAGTAAGAGTCTGAGGCATTTTGTTGAGGACTGCTCCCATCAACCCTGGCCCTGTGAACACAGTTCTCCTAGGGCAAGGCCATTAACACAACAGCTTCACTACCAGAGTGGGCTGATTTGACTTGGATTGGAGTAGGAAATAGCACAGTCCTGAAAGTTGTCAGAAATAGTGGTGGTTTGGATTAACAAGTCTAACTCACAATTACATCAAAAAGAATAGGTGTAAATTTAGGTTAGAATGTTGTACACAGAACACACAAAATATTGCTGAGAGAAATTAATAGGATCCAATAAATGGAGAGACAGCCTGTGTTCATGTATTAGAAGACTCAGTATTGTTTAGTAATTCTCCATAATTGATCTATAGATTCACTGCAATCACTATCTAAATCTCTGTAGTCTTTTTGCCGAAATTAGCAAGCCTAACCTAAAATATACATGTAAATGCAAAGGACCCAGAAATTTTGTAAAAGAAGAACAATTTTTGTAAAAGAAGAACAAAGTAGAAAAGTTTATACTTTCAGACTTCACAAATGACTACAAAACTATAATAATCAAGACAATGTAGTATTAGCATAAGTATATACATGTAGATTAATTGAACAAAATTTACTCTCCAGAAATAAACTATTATCCTTAAAGTCAAGTGATTTTCAGCAAAGCTGCCAAGGTTAATTCAATGGAGAATGGAGAATCTTTTCAAAAAACGATGCTGAGACAATTGGTTTATCTATATGGAAAGAGAAGAATTTACACATATGCAAAAATTAGCTCACTATAGATTATCAGTCTAAATGTAATAGCTAAAACTGTGAAACTTCTAGAAGAAAACTCAGAAGGAAATATTTGTAAGTTGGGTTTAGGTAATGAGTTCTTAGACATAACACAAGAATCAAGACCCATAAAAGAAGAAAATAGATAAATAGGACTGCATCAAAATTATAAACATTTAGGCATCAAAAAAAAAAAAACACCATTAAGTAAGTAAAAAGACAAGCCACAGATTAGAAGACAGTATTTACAAATCATATTTTTGAAAAAGGACTCATATTCAGAATATGTAAATAAATGTTACAACTCAATAATAATGACACCAAAAAACAAATTTAAATATGCGCAAAAAGTTTGAATAGTCATTTCACCAAATAGGATATATGAATGATTTATAAGTTCAAGAAAACATATTCAACATAATTCATCACTAGGAGAATAAATTTAAAATCAAAGATACCAATCCACTTACACTACAATCATCAGATAAGAGCAAATGTTGGTAAGGATGTGGAAAACCTGGAACCCTTGTACATTGCTGGTGGAAATGTCACTTTGAAAACAGTTTGACAGTCTTAAAAAGTTAAATACAAAATTATCATATGACTCTTAGACATACACCCAAGAGAAAATGAAACATACTTCCACACCACGGTTCATTCCTGCATGTTCATAGCAGCATTATTAATAATATCCCAAATCATGGAGTAATCCAAGTGTCCATCAACTGATAAATGTGTCAACAAAATGTGATATCGATACAATAGAATCCTATTCACTAATAAAAAGGAACAAGCTTCTGATACGTACCACAACATGAATGACTTCAAAAACATTATACTAGGTGAAAAAGGCCAGATAGAAAATATTCCATGCTGTATGAATCAATTCATAGGATATGTGCAGAAAAATAAAATTCATTCATAGGAAATAGAGAGAAAATAGATGAATGGCTTTCTGGGCTGCTGATGGTAGTAGAGTTAAGTGTAAATGGGCACGAGGAATTGTTTTAAGTTGATGGAAATGAACTAAACCTGGATTATTGTGATGATTGTGTAATTTTATAAATTTGCTAAAATTATTAATTACGTAAAATACATTAGTTCATATAAATTTCTTAATAAACCTGGTAAAATTATCACAAAGAAATTATATGTTTCACCTTCAGAGCAAGTTTAAATCATGAACTGACTCATTGATGCTTCTCATATTCCTGAAAGACTGTTAGCCAGGCTATTGTAAATGGCATTGAGAGCAATTAAACAAAGAAAAATAATGCGCTCATTGATCTGAAGGTAATGCTAACATCCATGCTTGCTAAATTCATGATATTTACCAGGTCTCTGTTTCATAGCTAGAAAAAAACAAGTCTCAGAGTCAGTGGTTCATACTGTTTATCAATAATGTTACACTAGGAGAAATTAAAAAGATTTTCACAAAGAGGCTCACTATTTGTCCTATGCTTATTTCCCCAATGTGTATCTTACAATCCCACCCCTCTGTATAGTTCTTGAAACACATGGATTTTCTCAACCTCTGGGCAAAACTTTCTAAATTTCTATATTCAATTCACACTGTATTGGAAGATGACAATTTTTAAAATATGTAAGTAGCTACTCTTATTAATCATATTGTATCAATCCTAACTTAAATTTTCAACATTAAAAAGGGGATAGTTTTTAATGGACATTTCCAATGAAAAATGCTGCTGTGATATGTTAATGTTTCAAAATGACCAGAATTCCCAAAAGTTTCACTCTAAGCAATAAAAGCATTACCTTTCCATCAGCCCATCATAAACAGAAACACTCATCAATAGTGATAACAAACAGGCCATACCAAAACACTATATAAATTATTTGGTTTATTTAGCTTCACTGTATTGAAACAGCAGTCATTAGATTAGTGTTCTTATTCTTAGGACTGATTGAGTTTTAAAAATAAGAAAACAAAATGAGGCTATCAATGCACATGACCCTGGGTATACAAAAATGGACTAAACATTTCTTTCCTAAGGAATTCAGAGTGAGGTAGAGAAATCACACATGTAAATGAATCCTTACAAACTTTTTTATGTCAAGTAATTTAATAAGGAGATGAATGAATGAGGAAAATAAGCATATAGCAAACAGAAAACTAAATCAGTGCTATATCCCAACCCTTTTATTGTTTTCTTCCAATAAATCTAAAATAACACAAAACAAGTAAGTAATGTTTCTTCCCTTTGTCCTCTGCCTTCTTTAGAGAACATTATGTGGTAGAGGTCAAGCTTCCAGCCAGAATGTTTGAGTCGCTACCTCTACAGATTAAAGAAGGACAGTTGCTTCATGTGTATCCAGTACTTTTTAACGTTGGAATCAATGAACAGCAAACTCTGGCTGAGAGGTAAGCTTTGGTGTAAGAGTGGCACTTGAGATTTTTCTTTGTTCCTCTTAAGCATATGATGAGAAGTCCCACGTATCTGCATATAGAACTAACATCGATTTATGCATAACATTTTTCTTTTTATCAGTACCAAATTATTTGAGATAGAAGGTAAATTTTCATATTTAAGGAATCCTGGCCCAAGTCAAATTTAAATGTGGCAAAAACATTGAGGAAAATCTTGATGCCAGTACTAAATAAAGCATTCAAATGGATTAACCTTCTTTATTTCCAAATACCTATGTGTGTATTAAAGTTTAGAATTCATGTTTATATATATCTCAATATTGTAAACAGATA